GAGAGAGAGAGAGAGAGAGACAGACAGACAGAGAGAGAGAGAGAGACACAGACAGAGAGAGAGACACAGACAGAGAGAGAGAGACAGAGACAGAGAGAGAGAGAGACACAGACATACAGAGAGAGACAGACAGAGAGAGAGAGACACAGACAGAGAGAGAGAGAGAGAGAAAAATAGAGAGAGAGAAAAAGAGAGAGAGAGACAGGTCTTTTAGTCAAAAATAGTGATATTTGATTTGCTCTGGTTTAAACGCAGCATCTGTATTAACGGGATAAATAACTGGTATAATTGATTGTTGGCCAGCTCTAGTTTAAACAGTATTTATGCACAGTTGCAAATAAAGATCAGGCTACATTCATATCAGTAGTACTATACTACTATAGCATATATTAACTATGTTCCTGTGGTGCTGTGGACGATTGGTTCAGTCTTGCCTGATCCAAACAAATATCTCCAGAGCGTTGTAAAGTCCAAAAAGTCAACAATTGTTGAAAGAAGATCACGAAAATAACGAAATATTCTGCTTCTGCAAAACAGCACTTCTGCTCTCACACACGACGGAAGCAGCCGCTGTAACAAACACGAATAACATTTATACAACCACAACCACAATTTATTTTCTATTTCTTCAGCGTCATAAAATATGACGACAGACATTCAAAGCTTCGAGTGGTAAAACAAGCGGCGTTCAGTAGGCGCTAGTATTTTGGGGGTTTGACTCTTTTCCCTAAAACTTAATTGTGAAATTCGGTAAACACACAAAACACTCTCCGTCTTTAGAACGGAGCAGAGGAATGTTTCCATTGTGTTGACCGTCGCCTGGTGACAGCGCTCCCACACTTACACCACTTGAATGAAAGAAACATGTCCCGTACTTGACATCCCATAATAACAGTACCACCTCGCCAGCTCCTGTTTAAAGAGGCAGCACACAGTGCAGCTGCTGCAAGCGTCCGGACAGAACAGAAACACGTCACCGGTAGCTGAACATTCAGAGGATCAGACGTGTTTAAAATGTTTGATGATGGCGCGTTAATGTGCAGCAATGTGGATGATAAACACTGTTTACATCATCAGATGTTAGCTTGTGAACGCAGCGATCAACTTCTTCTTCATGTTACATTTCCTGCAGAAGCGTCATGTGTTCAGATCAAACGACACAGACGTAAACGATACTTCACTCAGATCATGAACTTGCAGACGCACATTAGCTTGCCTGCGACATAAATAATGGGTTTCTGAGAGAACTCAGCTAGCGATGTGACCCTGAACACACACACACACACACACACACACACACACACACACACACACAGTTTGTGAAATGGATCTCACAGCAATCATGTCTGCGTTTCAGTGCTGCACTTATTTGCAGGGCTTCATGTTGCACATGTTTGTATATTCTCTCTCACACACACACACACACACACACACACAGAGTGTGATTGAGAGCCAGATGCTGCAGCGGTGTGTGTGTGTGTGTGTTTCCAGACTGCTGGTTTAACAGCACAGTTAACCAGGAGGAGAGGTCTAATGTGGAAAATATGACACAGCTGTTTCTCAGCCTTTAGGCCTTTTATCAATCAGTACCTCATTAAATACATTATTATAACTGTAAGTAAGTATAATTGCTGTGATTATTGCCGTTACCGTTTTTCTTTTCATTAAAAATTTACAAAAACAGAAGAAAGGCCAACACTGGTCCACTTGTTCCTGCTGCTTCAACACGCTGGGTGAGGTTATTGCTGAAGTGGACATGCTATGCTTGTTAAATGGCTAACTGAATCAGGCTCTAATAGAGACGCCTCTTTGTGGACGCGTGTGTGCCTGCATTGTGTGTGTGTGTGTGTGTGTGTGTGTGTGTGTCAGAGCTAAATTTACTTTTCACTTCAGAAGCTGTTCAAGTGTCCCGCCGCATACATACGATCTTAACTCGTCCATGTTTATTGTAGGTACTGTACCTTGATATAAAATGCTGTCATTGGGCCAAAACAATCCTGTTTATCCTCATCCACAGAATCTGGTTCATTGAAAGCAATTTCTCGATCATGGATGGATGACAGTGCGCTCTTATTTTGAAACAAAGGCAAAATGAGTAGAGTTGAATCACTGATCAGTTTTTCTTTACACTTGCAGTGCGTTTATTCGGTTTCTTTTGTTTATACTTTTAATCTTTCTTTTTGTTTGTTTGTTGCTGAATATTCAGTCAAGTGTATTTATTTGAATGATTAGGGAGTGACATGTCTTCTGTCTGGCCAGCCTTTTCCAAACTATTTTGAACGCGCGGCGCGCTCCCGCGTAAAGGGGTGAAGAGCATTACATGACAGGGGTGCATTGTGCACCACAACACCGAGCTCACCGAGCCTCACCCCCACGCTGTGCTCCTCCGGACCCTCTTTAGAGTGTGCGACCTGCTCTACCCGGTTTAACGGTGACATTAACAACACCGGAAACAAAGAGGACGGGGAGGCGGAAACGCTGCGTAATCATTTACAACCCACGAAGCTGCAGCGAACTCACCGCGTGTGGGAGTGTTTTTGGGGGGTTAGACAACATCAATGAAACGATGCTGCATGTCTCACCAGGTCGATGAAGGTCAGGAACTTCCAGCTGCCTCCGTAGGTCTGGTGCGCCGGCATGTCCAGCGCTTTGTAGTGGCAGAGGATGGAGAAGTAGGACAGCAGGATGGCGACCCGGAGGACCTGCGAGGGGATCAGCGCCATGATGTCTGCGTCCTTCGTTCACCTGTTCACCTGTTTAGCTCTCTGCACCTGGTTCAACCGCCTTGTTTGTCTTTAATCCTTCTCTTTCTTTATTCGGCCTGTCTTCACCTCCCTCCCCGTGTCTGCACCTCTCGTGCACCCCACTGTCGACTGCTTCCGTGTTATGATGATGCAAGGGGGCGGGAGCACGAGGGGGCGTCGGTATACCCGTACTATGCTGGGACGTAGTACAGTTTATACAGTTTATTTAATGAATGGAACTATGTATTTTAAATCCCTTTGTCATTAAATTGAGCTGTGAGCTCATTTGTGTTTATTTGTATTTTAACTTCCGCTGTTATTTCATGTTTATAATCAACAAATGTCTTTATTCTTTGTTATTATTTTTCCTCATATGCTGCTTCTTTGCTCAATGTTGTATAACTTTTATACTATTTTTAAGATTTTTCTTATAATTTTGTACCTGCCATATATATCTTGTAAAGTGATATATAAATAAAGTTTATTATTTATGATTTGCCCAACACTGAGAGGATATGAAACAGACAATTTTCAGAACCGACTTTGGTAACAACAGAGGTATTCTATGAGTGTATGTACACATATAAACATAAAAGTAGTGTTCAATGATAAATACATACAAGATTATGAAATAAACTAATAAATAAGCACATTTATATCAAAAGTCAACTCAATTTTCATTTGGAGTTCGATTTGTTTTAATAAAGACATTTTTACTTTATTTAATTTAGCTAATCACATTCTATGACTTCTGAGTGGATTTCTGGATGTTTAAGAACAATGGAAATCAAATACAGTGATATGCTCAGAAACTGTAGTCACATTGAATCTAAAGACGTTATGTCTGAGTGTTCAGAGTTATGACTCAGAGAAGGAGTGTCATCTTTACGCGGATTTAAAAGTAGCTTAATTAGCCCTGAGCTGTGCGTCACAGCCACCATGTTTAATAACGAGCCAAAGGTCAAAGTGCAATAACTAACTTCCTGTTGTTTTCACCTCACAGAGAATCTGTCTCTCCGTGAGGAAAGACAAGTTCATATGTAAAACACCGTATGAAGGTGCAGAAAGAGGTTGGTAGCTTTCATGTAAATGTAATGATCTCTGTCACAGAAGGCTGACTTCCTGTTGTCAGTAGGTGGCGCTATGACTATAACCCAATATGGACGTGGAGATAACTCTTATCCAGCGTGTTGGAATTTGGGGCAGTTTGGACAATCAGCTTCCTGTGTCACGGCGAAACCTGCAGATCGCAGGTCTTAAAAGTTCCATACCTGTAAATTGTCTAAAATGGCGCATTGTCACATGACCTATGACGTCATCGTTGGAGTTATCGACTATTCCTTTTGCAATTTAGCATCACATTAGCAATTATCTCAGACGAATCTGATGAAACCTCTCGGAGGAGTTCCAAAAAGTTTGCATGAAATACATGAAAAACACAAAATTCAAAATGGCCGAATGATTGCGAAGCGGACTAATAATGACAATCTCTGCAGAAACAATACGTTCCATGCGGTGACAGTGCCAGGGACCGTTGGGCACTTTCATACTCGGCATTAATGATAATCTCTACAAAAACTAAAAGGTTGCACTGAAGTTCTTGCCCCCAAATAATTTTATTTTTGGTGCTCAGGCCCAAATTAAAAGAATACAACAAAAGTATAACTGTTTTAAAACGAGAGCTGTGCAGCTTTCATTTTGATGTACAGAGATATTAGTCCAAAAAGATATTCATACAGGACATATGAGTAGCCTTCTGGCGGTCCCTGTGGACTAAAGTGGTAGTGTCTCTGAGCGCCAGAGTCCCTTTAATTAGAAAACCTCTCATTCTACTGCAGCAGGGTCTGACAGTCTGATCCTCTCAGTCCTGGTTCTGGTTCTCCTGTGCCTCCCTTCCCTCCAGCGGGTCCAGCAACACGTCCTGGGTCTCCAGCGGCGTGCGGCTCCAATGACAGGATTGAACATATCTTTATAGATCTTATGTAGGTCATATAGAGGCATCGGTTCTTAACATCAACAGTTCATATTTCCTTGAACTAACTTTAATATTTACTAATGTCTACATTGTTCTAAACAGATTGAGTGTCTCAACAACAAAGCAGCCATTGAAATAGAACTGATTTAAATTGAAAGAGAGAAAGAGGGAGGACGCTGATATTAAAAAGAAGAAGAAGATCTCCAGCAGGCGATGAAAGAGGTGATGCTGTTGCCATGGCGACGCTGCACTGGTACTCAGGACCGAGTGCCGTTTCTGCACGTGCAGGTTTTTTTTCCATGGATGGATGGACTCGTGCACAGGTCTAACGTTAAATTACATTGGCCTGTTTTTGCATTACGAGTCTTTAAAATATAGAGTTTGCTCAGCAACACATCGCGCTACGTACAAACCATCAGAAACAGCGTCTTCACTGCCGGCTCTCAGCAGGAGGTGTGACCAGTGAAGACGGATTGAAGCACACGAACAAGGCTTTCTGTAATTAACACCGAGAACATTTATCAAATCAGTGTTTCACACTTGTGCAGTCATCATGAAGGACAAGCGACACACTTACATTGAGTGAAAAGCCGCACTGACATGCACAAAAGCAAAATAGTGAACATATTTGCGTGGCTGTAAACGCTGCAGACGTGGTGACGGGTTACTTGTGATTAGGATGAACTGACCATTTAACAATGTAGTCGACCACAATTTAACAACTTCCACTTTTGAGGTTTAAAAAACAACTCAACTGCTGGATGGGAAGTGAACACAGACACATTTATGTATGGAAATGGTTTCTGTCTGTTCTCTCTCTCTACCTGGTCTCACTGTCTTTCATTGATTATTACAGCACAACTTTGCACAACGACTGGCAATTGCAGTTAACAGTTTTTGTCTGCAAGCCCAGTGTTTTAAGTCAATTCAGAAATATGCTGCAGCGGTTTAGTCTTGTGCTTCTGTTACTGTTAAATGGGGGATTCAATAAGAGAGACAGGTCATTTGTAGTCTCCTAGCTCTTTTTAAATCCAGGCGGCAACCTCCGGATCTGAAAAGTTAAGCCTTCAAACCTGCATTCTCGCTAATGTCCACCAGGGGGCGACTCCTCTGGTTGTATAGAAGTCTATGAGAAAATGACTCTCCTTCTCTCTTGATTTATTACCTCAGTAAACATTGTAAACATGAGTTTATGGTCTCAATCTCTAGTTTCAAGTCTTCTTCAACACAGCATGATGTTCATTTAGTACATTATGGTCCATTTAGAGTCACACAGACCATAAAGCAGGGGATGTTCATCATGATGACTGCGTTCACTTCTTATATACAGCCTACGGTCAAGTCGGTGCAGAACTCCTTTAAAATATTGACTCATTTATTTACCTCTGCCATCATGTTGTTGACTGTGTGCCAGCCAGCAGGGCTCGGGCCAAAGACACACTGATTAGGTTTTATTGATGAAGCCGATGTGGGAAATCCACAGCAACTCGATCGTCGTGTTTAATCCAGATCAATGAAGCTGGTGGAAGTAGAGAGCTTCAAATCACCGTCTTCACGCAGTCAATGAGACAGTTCAACGTGAAATGCAACAGCAGCTTAAGTTCTCCCAGTCTCCTAGTTCTGCTTCAGTGTTTGTTTTTTTTGCATGTATTTAAAAATAAAAAATGGTATGTTCACATTTCAAAAGTCACAAAATATTTCCAGAACAAACAAAGGGGATTTTTCAGCAGCTCTGCTGGAGCTGTTGAAGGGGTTGAGCTTAAAGGGCGCCTCCCTTTGTGGTGGAGCGGGTCAGATCAGGGATTCAAACCGGTAACCTGGTTGTTGTCGGAGAGCTTAGTTTGGGTTTGGAAGAGTTTTTGTGGAAAATACCAGAATGATTGGATGGAATATTTTGACCCTCGTAGATCCCTGAGTGTGTGTGTGTGTGTGTGTGTGTGTGTGTGTGTGTGTGTGTGTGTCACACACCACACACACACACACACACACACACACACACACACACACACACACACACACACACACACAGTATGCCAGCTCTGTGGGGTCTATGAAGAGTTGGCAGCAACATGTTTCCTCTTTCCTTCTTCCTCCTCCTCCCCCTTGTCTTCCTCCTTCATTCGCCAAAATTTTACACTGTAGAAAGTCTACATATATATATACAGTATAT